AGGGAAGGAAGGAAGGAAGAAAAGAGAAAAAGAGAGAGATGATGAAAGAAAGAAAGACAGAAAAAGAAAGAAAGAAAGAAAGAAAGAAAGAAAGAAAGAAAGAAAGAAAGAAAGAAAGAAAGAAAAAAGGGCTGACCCTAGCTACATGGCTTCTCCAGTCATGTAACATTGTCCTGCTGGGTTCCAGCCCAGGCTTCACCCTCTCAGGCCTCCACCTAGAGACTTCGCTGTCCCCAGAAGCCATTGCAGAAGCTCAGCTACTAACAGGGCTGGGACTCATGCAGCACCGGCTGGGATTCCCCCACCCAGCTCAGCTCCGATGCCACTTCCCTTGGGTGTTGCCTGTATTAGGCAATGGGGCCACGCACATGTGAAAGTCCATCTGAGACTCCTTTTCCTCGCCCAAACGGCTTTGCTACACAGCCTCGCTCAGAGTGTTTTTGCAGATCCTGGCACGTTAATCATGGGCTGTTTGGGAGCAAGAAACAAAACATGCTTATGCTGTAATAAAGGGAGGAGCCGATGGCGGACACACGAGGGCATCCCACAAGCCCAGCTGCAGGAAGAGCAGTCTGACTTGTGAAGACTTGAGAATGTGTTCAGCAGCACTCTCTGGGCCGTCCCTTGTTTCTTGCTTTTTCTCAACATCTCGGCTCTTCCCCATGCATAACAGTGCCCTCTGCCACTCACTTTAATTCTCCAACTTGTGACTCTCAGACACATTCAATCTCATTATCCCTTGTCCCTGGGAACCTTCTAAAATGCATCTGTCACAACAGGTGGGTGACCACAAAGAAGTCTTATTAACATATAAATCCACACATAACCCATTTTTTACTTAAAATCTTCAGGAAGTCTCTGGTTCATCCTTATACTCCTGTCTTGGGATGCTGTAGTATGGAGTCAGGAGCTATGGCAGCTATATTGCTGCCATGAGGTATCACTTAGGAAGAAATCCACAGTACCGAGGCATGATTAAAATAGGCATCATTCTTGATTTCATTGTTCAGACAACACTTAACCTATTACTGCCTCCAAAATTCTCATACAGTGTGCTATAAATGTCCTGGATTTAAGTCATTGATAAGTGTAACTGTTTATTAGTTAAAATTGAAAACATCCTGTTTGGAACAAGGCATCGGAAATAATGTTTTTAGTATAACTGTCCTTACCTATGTCTCTGGATCAGTCTTTGTACATTTATCCAAAATACTCTCCAACCTTAGCTAAAATTTCCTAGAATCCTATAAATGAGCTTGTGCAAGAGTGGGGATTAGGGGGCTGGTCTTGACGGCAGTGGCTGTGTGGACAAAGCTTGGTCCTGTCCAGTTGTCTGACCTTCTCTGTCTCCTTTTCCTCCGTGTGTCTCTCTGGTTTGTGTCTCTTCCCTCTTCATCTGTGCCTCTCATTGCTTATGACAGATTCTTCTCACTTCAGTATTCACCCTTTCTTTATTCATCTTCATGCCTTGAAGGAGAAGGTCCTCAGCACCCAGCTGCATGAGCTCTGATTCTGAGGGAGCTGAACCTCTTCTTCCCATGGAGGGCTCAGGTTGAAGAAAACATTCAACACCTCAGTTTCTAAAGGGACCCAGGCCACTCCCCAAATGCTATGCAAACAGACCGTCTGTTGGCTTATTCCTGTGGTCATTGTGCATCTCGAGGAGCTTTTGTTTCCTGTTTCATTATCTAATTGGTCAGTTCCTTTCCCCTTTCCCAGCCCCCTTGGTATATCTTCAGCTGCCTCGGAGCAGAGTCACTGTCCCCAGGAGATCGGAACTTAGAACCACCCCGGCAAGGGCCACAGCTGGAGGATCACCCAGGTGAGACACTCGTGTCTGGGGGCTGGGAGCTTCGCAAGGGTGAACTCCATAGACTGGTGGGCACAGTAAACACTCTGGAGTGAATTGAAGAGAGATGCAAGAGAGAAGGGTGACTATAGCAAACTCACACTGTTCTCTCTGGATGTTTTTCTATGAAGAAAAGCCAAGGACTTGTTTGGAAACTACAAGTAATATAAAATTGAAGAATAATATTTTTTAAGATGGAGAAGTTTTAGAACATATTGGGGTGCTGAAGGGAATATCGGGATAGAGAGAATATTGATGCTGCTAGAGAAAGAGGGAACGAGTGAAGGAGGGACGCTCTTGAGAAAAAAGGGTGGGGTAAGTTCTGAGGCTGAGTGGAGGGCAGATCTTGGGCCAGGATACTTCTCATCATAGAGGCCAAGCCACACAACACAGGGTAGGGACCAGGAAGTCCGGGCTGTCAGCTGTCATGAGAGGCAAGGGTATCAGCTGTGATGGGGTGGAAGAGGAGACTCCCGGTTTGAGAAGAAGGCAAAAGAACGTGAAGACTGGTTCTCATGGGGTCCATTAGCACAATTCAGCTCTGTCCGCTGGAGAATTGCAAACTTAGCCCACTTCCTCTCTGAAAATCTGCTTTTTCTTGTCACTTGGTGTTGAGGAAACTTGGTCAGTATGAGCTTCAGGGGATCAGAAGCAGGTGAAGGTGTGGTACTGTGGTTGCCGGGCGGAAGAGACTCAAAAATGGCAGCCGCCATGACTTGTGTTCACCACGAGCCAGCTATTCTCTCCCAAATCCTGGTGGAGACATATTGCATAGCGTTTCTCTCTGGCGTGTCCCAGCCTGTTGTTGCTGACTCTTCCTTAGTCATTTTATTCACCTTCCCCACCATGCCTCAGAGATTCTTTTTTTTTTTTTGGTTTTGGTTTTTCTCCGGTACCAAACTCACGACCTTGCGCTTGCCAGGCAGGCGCTTTGCCGCTGAGCTAAATCCCCAGCCCCCTGCCTCAGAGATTCTTGAGAAGAGTCCTCAGCCTGTCGTGCAGTCAGAGGGACGGGGGACATCTCAAGTTGTTTCTGAGCCTGGAACGTGGAGGATCAGTAAGAATATGAGCCACATATGAAATTAAAATTGTCTAGTAAGTGCTTTAAAAAAGTAGTAATGAACTAATGAAGTTAATCTCAATACTTTCTCTTATTAAATAATAATAAATTTTACATGGCCATATTAATACTTCAACAGGTGGTCAGTGCAAAAACTTATTGAGATATTGTACATTACTCTCCTCTTACACACTACTTTCACACTAAGTCTTTCAAATCTGGTGCGCATTCATTCTTACAGCCCATGGCAGTTTGGACCAGCCACATGTCGAGTCCATAAAGCCCGACGTGATGAACACCACCATGTATGGATGGTTCAACTGCAGACCTGTAGCATACAGGGCAAGGTCAGAAACCAACCTTTGCTAGAGTTTCACTGAGCTGTTCAGTGACTTTAAGCAATGAACTTAAATGTTCTGTTTCCTGACCTGCTCAAAGGGTAGAAAGACACAAAGATGGAGAAAGGAAGGGAGAGAGGAAGGGAAAAAAGGAGAGAGGAAAGGAGGGAGGGAAGAAGGAAGGGAGGAAAGGATGGAGGGAAGAAGGGAGGGAGCAAGGGAGGAGAAACATGAAAACCCTCAATATTATTCAGCAGACACTGTGTCAGTCCATGACCCATGCCTGGTGGTGTTAACTGACTACATCCTCACAAAAGGCATTTGGGGAAGGCTGCTGCAAAGATGAGAAGAGAGGACAGCCCCTTTGTACGAGCCTGACATATGCTTTGTACATCTCATCACCCACAATCTCAGACCCAGCTCACGTGTCATGCTTTTCTTCACCCCCAAGAGCACTGAGCCAATGCACAGGGTAGAGAAGCATGTCCTATTCATCTACCAAGATAATCACGGAGAAGAAGGTGGAAATGAAGTCCCCAGTCTCACTCTCCGTAGCACAGAACCAGCCAGACGGTATCAGGCCTCACTGATCCATTCCGCCTCTCTTTGAAAACAAATCGAACATTTATTATGCTTTGCCTCCACAATGCCAGAGAGAAGGGGCATTTCATGACCCCTAAGAGAAGGAGGCAGCGCCTGGGATGGGGAAATCTGGATGTTGTAGTTTTCATGCAGAGAGCCATAGGTGGAGGTTTTAGCTCACGACTGTGTGACTCTGGTCACTGAAGCTCTCTGCCGCCAACTTCCTGATGCTTGTAGACCTTTTTCCCTTTTCAAGGTTGTGGTAAAGTATGCATACCAAAATTTACTTCCTAAGTGTACAATGCAGTGGCAGTAAGTGCATGTAAAATGTTTTGCAACCACTATCTAGAAAATCCATATCCATTAGGCAGTAAGCCCTGATTCCCCCAGGCCTTGGAATCACTAGTCTGGATGTTGTGAAATCATAACAATATGTGACATTCTGTGTCTGACTTTTTATATAAAGTTTCCAAACTTCATCTATAGCATGTATCTATGCTTCATTCATTTTTATGGCTTCAAAATATTCAATCACATGGAAATATCACTTTTTCCTTATTGGTTAAAGGGCAGCTAGGTTGTTTCCATATTCTTTCTACTGTTAAAAGTGCTACTATCAATACTCATGCATAATTTTTGGGCACCTCCTTTCTTTACACACCTGTTGCTCAATATTTTCCCCTTAGAGGGCAAGATTCTTCCTTAGGCAAGAAATCTGCCTGGCAGCTACACGGTAGCAATTGCAGGAACATGGGATGCACTGTCAGGCATAGAGGACCGAGGTGAGCTTGTTCTACCTGGTGTAGGAGTTCAAGGGGAAGGGGAGAGTGTGTGCCTGGGAAAAGTGCTGGGTGCTGAATGAAGACAGTGAGAAACTGCATGCAGGTCCATAACTAAAAAATGTCCATTGCCACTTTCAGGTGTGGACAAGATGGTGAACAATTCCTCTCTTCCCATGAACACATCTGCCGGGACTCTGACTGTACCTGCTGGCTACATTGTTCTGAATGTCTTCTCTTACACAGTATGTGCAGTCACCTTTGTCCTGGGTGTTCTGGGAAATGGCCTTGTGATCTGGGTGGCTGGATTCCGCATGAAACACACAGTCACCACCATGTGTTACCTGAACTTGGCCATAGCCGACTTCTCTTTCACCCTGACCTTACCTTTCCTCGCGGTCCGGCAGGCCTGGGGAGGACACTGGCCTTTAGGTTGGTTCCTATGCAAGCTCATTTTTACTATAGTGGACATAAACCTGTTTGGAAGTGTCTTCCTGATTGCTCTCATCGCCCTGGACCGCTGTATTTGTGTCCTGCATCCAGTGTGGGCCCAGAACCACCGCACCGTGAGTCTGGCCAAGAAGGTGATCGCGGTGGTGTGGACATGTGCACTGCTCCTTACCTTGCCAGTTATCATTCGTGTAACTACAGTGACTCGTCCATTTGGGCATCAAGTCTGCACCTTTGACTTTTCACCCTGGACCACAGACCGTGCAGAGAAGATGAAAGTGGCCATCACCATGCAGACCGTCCGAGGGATCATCCGGTTCGTTATTGGCTTTAGCATGCCCATGTTCACCGTTGCCATCTGCTATGGACTCATTGCCACCAAAATGTACAAGCAAGGCCTGCTCCAATCCAGCCGTCCCTTGCGGGTTCTCTCTTATGTTGTCGTTGCCTTTCTTTTCTGCTGGTGCCCTTTCCAGGTAGTGGCCCTCATACTCACCATCAGAATCCGAGAAGTCCTTAGCGGGATGGGTGGAAACCTTGGTGTTGCACTAATAGCAACGAGCTCCCTGGCCTACTTCAACAGCTGCCTCAACCCCATGCTCTATGTCTTCATGGGCCGGGACTTCCGGGAGAGACTGATCCGCTCCCTGCCGGCCAGTCTGGAGAGGGCGCTGACTGAGGACTCAACCCCAACCAAGGATACAGCAGCCAATTCTGCCTCAGCTCCTGCAGAGGTCCAGTTGCAAGCGACATGAGGAAGGTGCTGGGGACGCTTTTGTTGTCCCAGATCCAGCTTCATCTCATCTCTAATTATACTGCACCACAGCCATTCCCCACTCTCCTTAGGGTCAGCCGCTCATTAGGAACAATTCCCTGTGCCCACTGCTTCGGAGACAAGAAACAGATGCCAGGCTACTGATGATGTCTGCTTTTGATCTGGGGATTCCACCTTGGGGTGGAGAAGTGAGAAAAGATAAGGAGATCATGCACCCCTCTTAGCTGGAAATGGTCCTGATCATAATAATTATGCTCTAGCACAGTTATTAGTAATGTCCACTTCCACTCTTAAAGGTGTCCCTCTGTGGACATTGAACCCTATTAGTTCTTCCCAGGAAAATGAAGACGGTGGGAGAAGTACCAAATGTAAAAGAAGTACTTTCTCAGTAGCTGAGCTTTTCTTGATGAATAAGTAAGTGAAAATGAAAAGCCATAGAGGTATCAGTCAAAGACCTCGAGCCCCTGGAGTTACATATAAAACTGCCCAATCCATTGCATTACAAAACTTGGGAACTCAACTATTCTCCCCACAGACCCTCCATTTTCACTGTTACCCCAGATGTGGCTGGGACAGAATTAACCCAGTATCTGGTACTTGCTGTCCTTCTTCCCAGGGTGACTAACACAGGGTACAACTCAGACATCTGCCTCAATTTCCTTACAAACTACTTGCACAAGGTCCTTAAACATGGAATGTAGTTTGTGTGGGGTCAGGCAATGTGGACTATGTCCTGGTCAGCCACAGACCATGTGAAAGCATCAAGTTGAACTCTAGAAACCCTTGTTCCTAAACAACTTTCTTCCTTCCCTTCTCCTCCCCTCCAGACTTTTGCTTTTTTTCTTGTTTTGCAATTCAGGGACTTTATCCCTTTTACCCTCTGACTTCCTATGCCTGGGTCTCCTTTTATAATCCAAGCCAAGCTTTCATGATAGCACCCTCCTTACGATGATTGCTGGTGCCAGCTCTGAGGAGTCATTTAGACACCGCCACATTTTATCATTATCAGGATAGAGAAGAGAAAAAGGAAGAAGAGTGGTGGGTTGGAGAAGAATCCCAGGAGCACCCAGAGTCAGCTGATACCAGATCACGCACTTTGGTGAGGGGCTGGATGCTGGTGGTTGGCTTCACCCCAGTTCCAGGGGAGACCCCTGAGCTTGACCACATGGTGTGGTCTCAGTAATCCATCACTTCTGTGGAGTCCCGGGATGGTCCTTGTGTGCAGCCCCCAGCAAATGCCTCAGCCTTGCACTGTAGCATCCAATGAACTTATTTAATCTAATGCCCCTAACCCTGATGCTTCTGAAGGACATCGACAGATCCTTGTCTTCCTCCGACATACAAAAGCTTTCAATAAATGTTAAACTAAATCTTATGCTCTGTATCTCTTTTACCAATACTCGGGAACTTGCATATGCATTAAGCGTTTGGATCACCAACTCCCTGAGGTCAGCTGAGTTCTTCTTCTCTTGACATACAAGGATATGAGAAGAGGAACGGGATGTGATAATCTGGGACCCACCGCCGCTCAGAGATCACAGTTCTCACAGAACACTCTCCTCACTTCTGACACCAGCTGCGAGTTTGGAAGGGTCTCCAAACACCCTTGGGTTCTCTAACTTACTACAAAGACTCATAAAGAGAGTGGAGCAAATAATCTGAGCAAATGAGGGGAGAGACGATGTAGTCCAAGATTACCAGGGGCAGAGACAGGCCACTTGGTAACATTCAGCCCCTTAAGGACTAGGTATACCTCCTGCAGTTGACTTCCTTCCAACAAGCAAGTGAAACTCGGGCTAGTTTTACTGAGTTTCTGTGAATTAATTGCAACTAAGATCTGTTCCTGAGGTTCCCGTGCTGCATGTCAGAACAGAGGCAGGGTGGTGCCTACAGCCGAGGCCGACATGACGAAGGGCAGGAAAGAGCATGTGTGGGAGTGGGTATGACCCTTCATCCAGTTGACTGGGGCATCTCCCACTTTGGGTGAAACAGCAAACGGAAGAGAAAGCGGCCTAGAAAGTGGAATCAAGAGGAAGAGCAGATGATAGCCCTGTCCAATGCCTTATCCTGACAAAACCCAGCTCATCCTTGAATGGTGGTCCTCAGTGGAAAACAAGCCCATCTAGCAGAACTGAGATGTGAAGAACGGGGGTTCTCCTAGCACAGTGTCTGGGCTGGAATCCTGACTTCACTTCTCATGAGCTCTGTGAGATGAGGCAAATCTATTACTTTTTCTGTGTAAGTATTGGTCCCCTCAGGAAAGAGATGGCATAATTGATTAAAATTAATCAAATAAAAAGAGTTTGATGTGTGGTAGTGCACATCTGTAATCCCTGAATTTGGGAGGCTGAGATAGGAGGGTTGCGGCAAGTTTGACATTAGCCTGGACGCCATAGCGAGTTCAAATCCAGCCTAAACTACCTAAGGCGACCCTGTCTCAAGGAGGGAGAGGGAGAGAGAGAGAGAGACATTAGTGAAGGTGGATAGGCAGGGTTAAGAGAGTTAATGAGGGACGGTGATATGCCCAGGATCAAGCACCGTAGTACATTAGTTTCCTGTGTCTGCTGTAACAAATACCCACAGACTTGGTGACTTAACACAGAACAAGTTTATTAGCTAAAGACTGTGGGAATCAGAAGCGCAAGGGCTAAAGTTAGTCACCAAGCAAATTGTGCTTCTTCCGTACCCTCTGGGGTGACTACTTTCTGGCCCTTTCCAGCTCCTAGAGGCTGCCATCTTTCTTTGGTTTTGCTCCCCCACTCTTCCATCTTCAAAGCCAGCAATGGAGCACCCGAAAACCCTCTCACACTCACCCACGAGGTCACATAGGCCCCACGGCGGTGAACCAACATCACCCCCCGACCTGAAGACCTTACCTTTTCCACAGCTGCGAAGTTTCTTTTGGCAGTTAGTCCACACACAGCTTCCGGGGGGAGGGGGGAGGGTGGACATCTTTCAGAAGATTATTTCTCTGCCCACCACAGGTGTGGAGCTCTTACCTTTCCTAAACCTAAGGGGGCAGGAAAAGGAATGGTTTACAGAACCCAGAGATAGGTATGACACTGGGAGGAGCGCCCCAAAGCAGACATAGGTCCACATCGAGCCAGGGGTGGGGGAAAGAGGCAGAGCTCCATCTCTTTCCATCCTAGTTTGTCTGCTGTAGTAGAATGCTTCAGAGAAACACAGTCTACTGGATGTATATACATCCTGCACAGAAAGAGGTTTGTTACAAGGAACTGGGACACATGATGAAGGAGGCTGACAGGTTCCAAGTTTTGCAGGATAAGCTGGCAAGCTGGAGACCCAGCAGAGCTGACATTTACTTCCAGTTCAAGTCCAGAGCTCCAAGAGCCAGGACAGTTGATGATGTAGTTCCGGTGCAAGGCCAGCAAATTTAAGACCAGGAAGGTCTGATGTTTGAGTTTGAGTCTGAAAGCAAGAAAAAATCAGTGTCTCAGTTTAAAGGCAATCAGACATGAGGACTTGGTGAAGGGTCAGCCTTCTCCATTCAAGCCTCCAACTGATGGGATAAGGTTCATCCACACTACAAAACACAATCTTCTTTACTCAGTCTATAGGTGCACATGTTAATGTCACTTTTAAAATGCTCTCACAGAAACTCCAAGAATAATGTGGAACCAAATATCTGGTCACCCTGTGTCCCAGTGAAGTTGGCACAGAAAAGTAACCATCACACCTCCCAACAGCCATTCCCTACTCTGGAGAACTGACTAATACATAAGCTGAGAGGTAGTGCACCCCAACTCCACAGGGATAGATGCTCGGGTGCTTGGTCCTCCTTCTGGACTTCTGTCTGTGTACCTCTTCACCTGGCTATTTATTCATATTTTTATAATATTCTTTTATGATAATGCTGCCATAGTAAGGAAGGTGTTCTCCTGATTTCTTTGGGATCCTAAGGAAATTATCAAAACTGAGGAGGAGTTGTGGGAATCTTTGATTTGTAAGCCAGGAAGCCTCCATTCGCAGCTGGCATGTGAAATGGAGGACAGATCTGTGGGATTGAGTTTTTAACCTGCAGGGCCTGTGCTGACAAGGGGTAGTTATCGTCAGAATTGAATTAAGTTGTCCCCAGTACAGAAGATGACAACTCAACCCCCAAAGTATAGAGGGCCAGGAGACAGGGAACTTGGGGGTTGAGGGGACTGGTGCATCTAGAAATCCAGGAGGCTCCGCTCACCACAAACTGCCAACACATCCGGGCTGTTTGGAAATCAAGAGGAACCCCAGTTCCTGTTACCCAAGAGCCCACAAGTTTACATTCCCCGCTTGTTCCTCAGCTCTGTTCAGAAATCTCTGAGGCTTGAGACATAGTCACAGTTGACCACAACTCAGAGAAACCCCGGGGCAAAACCAAAATCGAAGTGGGAAGTAACCTCAGTCAGAAAATAGACTAGGGTTGGAGGAAGTACAGGGATCTTAGGGAGTCCCAGACTCCTGAGACTGAGGGCTCCATCCCTCTGAGCCTCCATCTTCTCATTTGTAAAGAGAGTATGCTAACGATCCTCCCCAGGCAGGACTGTCTGCACAATGCAGAGAGACAGCTGACCACTCTATAAAAGTGCAGAGGAGCAAATTCTCACTGCGGGCACAACTGCGGATGGATCTCGCAGACTTAAGGTCAAGTGGAAGACACCGGGTGCAAAGGAAGACACGCTGTATGGTTCCATCTACGTGAATCTTAAAGATGGGGCACCTAACGCACGCTAATGAGGGGTTGGGCAGTGTTTATGGGGAGGTCGTGAGGATGGGCTGCTTCCTGGTCTGGGTGCTGCTTGCGTGGGTGCATTCCCACTGTACACACTTATTGATTCATTTATGATATGCACAATGTTCTCTAATAAAATTTATACTGATGGAGAGACAGAGAGGGTGACAGAGAATGGATGGAGGCAGAAAAGAAAGGAAAGACACAGAAGGGAGAGAGAAAAGGTGAGGCAATGGAGAAGGGGATAAAGGAGGAAGAAAGGAGGAGGGCGAGCATTTCCTTGACACACGGGAAATATGGGTGAGTTTTACATCGTTGAACTGGTTGGGGGGAGTGAGCTGGTGCAGGCTTAGGAGAGACAATGAAAATAATGTCTGATCTTTCCCTTCCCCCACCATCATCTGCACATCTCGAACCAGAGGGGTGGCTGAGGGAGACACAGCACTGGGGACAGAAACGGCTGAATTCCAAGCATCGCTGCGCCGGTGACCTGACGCATCTGAATGGTGTCTAAGGCAGAGACGGCAGCAGTGATAAATCCCTTCTAGGATCAGTGTAATCCCCATTGGCTGGGGGCAGCCACACCTCAGAAGAGCCAGCAGCCTTGACTTCTGGGATTCTGTCTTACAGAGCTCGGACGTTTCTCTTCCCTAGTCATAGATGAGGGCACAGTCTGTGATATGCTGAAATAGTCCATCAGCTCCCAAAGGGAAAACTGTTAAAATTCCAGGAATTTTCCGATCCACATTATAAAGTAAAACCATATAAACTTCAGTGAAATAAGTGATAATAAAAACAAGGAGAATGAATTATAAAATTCATCACTTCTTAATTATTTTGCCATATTTTGATGAAGAAGTGAATCTCAATGTGCATCTTGTTTTACCTACGGTAACAAAAATACCAATCTGCATTCAGGTAGCAGGTACACTTGCCCGATGATATGAGCTACTTCTTAGCTAAGCTGAACTGTTCAAAGCATGCATTTGTAGCCTCATGTTGTGACCTGATTGTTGGCAATGGAATCAGAAGCACTGGCACTGATTTTTTCAAGGAATCATCTCTTTTGTTGCAAGAAATGTCATCCTGAAGTTGTATGGGATTTATACAGTAGAGAATTTTATATTAGCATGTCTATTACATCCTTTAAAATCAGTAACATTTGTTGTCATAGTTATATATAGACACGTATTTTCCCGCCCCGGAGAGCCAGTCATTAGTCATTTACCAGAACTTCACAGTGGAGACAGGACATGTGTTTTAGATTCTGTAAGAGCCATATTTAAATCCCAGCTCTGTCACTACTTCTGTGACCTCGGACCAGTCACTTCCCTCTTTGCATTCAGCTTTCTCTTCTTTGACACTGACACTATAACAATTATCTGAGGGACCAAATTCAAAGACCCAATCCAAAAATGGGCAGCGGAGATGAACACACATTTCTCAGACAAGGAGATACAAATGGCAAATAAATATATGAGAAAATGTTCAACATCATTAGTCATTCGGGAAATGCAAATTAAAACAACACTGAGATTCCACCTTACCCCAGTAAGAATGGCTAGCAATAAGAAATCAATAACAAATGCTGGCGAGGCTGTGGAGAAATAGGAACCCTTCTCCACTGCTGGTGGGAATGCAGACTGGTGAAACCACTGTGGAAATCAGTTTGGAGATTCCTCAGAAAACTAGGCCTAGAGGTCCCATTCAACCCAGCTATCCCCCTGCTTGGTATTTTCCCAGAAGATCTAAAAACATCATATCACAGTGATGTATGTGCACCCATGTTCATAGCAGCACAATTTGTAATCACTAAAATGTGGAAGCAACCCAAATGTCCATCCACTGAGGATTGGATAAGAAAATTGTGGTACTTTTATAGAATGGAATATTACTCAGCTGTAAAGAAAGATAAACTCGAGGCTTTTATAGGCAAATGGTCACAACTAGAGACCATACTCATAAGCGAAATAAATCAAACATACATGTGCAAGCACCACATTGTTTCTCTAGTGTAAAGCCTGAAAGAGTTAATTTAATCTAGGAGATATGATAGACATTGAGAATTGATAGGAAAGCACTCATAGGTAAAGGATAACTGGGATATGGGAAAAGAGAAGGGAAAGAAGGAGAAAGTTTGTATATATGTATATGCAGGATAGTTAACACAGGTGTTCTACTGTCCTGTATTTCCTTGCTGAAAGAAACTGTCAGTGAGACATTGGTTGATTAGCTTTGTATGTCTATATGTGTTTTCATGAGAAACTACATTGAAGATATCAATATGTAATACAATAAGCATTGTTAATTCCCTACCACTCTGTTTGTAACTCTGTAATGTCTGTACTGATCCTATGCTATTTTGTAAAATGTTGTCGGTCTGTATTTTCCTCCTTTTGTTTCTAAAATTTAAAAAAAAAAAAAAAACAATTATCTGAGGGAGATCTTTTGGTTAAAGGGTGACGTGGTACTTCCCATCACACATGGATCTCCCATCCTCACAGCACTCCTTTTTTGTTCCATTTTCCTTTGGCAATCTTTAGATTGGAGAACCATTTGGTAGATTTAATTCTGAAACCTTGGACCTGGGGTTCTGAGAGAGGAAACTCTCCTAATGACCCATTCTGGTCCTGATTGCTTCCGAACAGGAAGGTCTTTGTGAGCGTCTCCAGGGCAAAGGTCAACAATAGCTCTATCACAACTGGTCTATCATATTAGTCTGCTAAGGCCATGGTAACTCATTACCACAATGCTAGTGGCTTAAAACCACAGAAATGTATTATCTCACAGCCATGGAGACCAGAAGTCTGAAATCAGTAGGTTAGCAGGGTTGGCTTCTTTTGGAGGCTCTGAGCCTCTTTCCTAGCTGCTGGTGGCTACTAGCAACCATTGGCGTTCCCTGGTGTTATTGATTGAACTGTGACCTTCACTTCTATTCCTATATTGAGGTCCTAACCCCTAGTGCCTCAGGATGTATCCTCATTTGAGTTTGGATCAGGGCAAATGTAATTATTTAAGTTAAGATGAAGTCATACTGGAGTAGGGTGGAACCCTAACGAAGAGAGGAAGTTTGGACCTGCAAAAACACCATGTGAGCAAGAAGGCAGAGACTGAAGGGACATTTCTATGAGCCAAGTAATGCCAAAGGTTGCCAGCAAGTAACCAGAAGCAGAAGCCGGGAACAGATTCTCCTGCCACGCCCAGAAGGATCAACCACAACGCAATACCTTGATCTTGGATTTCCAGCATCCAGGACTGGGCGAAAATGTGTTTCTGTTGCTGGTGGCACATTCCCCAGATGGTGGTACTCTATTACTATGGAAGCACTGCAAAATAAACACCCTTGGCTGTGTCACTCCAATCTCTGCCTCTGTCTCCGCATCATTTTCTCTTCTGCACCCAGAGAAAACCTGTCATTTCATGTAGGGTCCTCTCTAAATCTAGAACAAATTCATCTCAGAGTCCTTAGCTTGGTGGCATCTTCAGACAAGACCAGCATCCACAGCTTCTTGCCGTCGGGACTTGGAGGTATCTTTGGGGGCCATCAGTCCACTGATATTGTGTCTTTTCCTGTAACTGCTCCAAGTGTCAGAAGAAGGAAGCAGAGACTCTGAGAGGACAAACCACTTTCTCAAATGCAGATGTCGGTGGTGGGATCAGGAATAGATTCCTTGGACTTGCGGCTGAGTCATGCTCCGTCCCTGAGGAGGCTGCGCTGAAGCTGATGCATGAGTGAATGAATGACGCAACCCACTTACATACAGGCAGGCAAGTTATCTTGTGCAAACGTTTCCTCGGAATACAAAACTCCTCATGGGAGGTTTGGGGAGCTCACTTAAACGAACCAGTTTGCAAAAACACTTAGGTATATGACCATCTTTCAACACCTGGAAAATGGAAATCATCACAAGGATCAGAGAGGTATTGTCCAAGGTGGGATCCGGGTTGAAAACCCACAACCAGTCACTGAAGAAAGATGGTATAGGGGTTAAAGAACCCACCCTTTCCCCTCTGGATGGCCAATATGTGAGCCAGAGAAACAGTCAGTAGACAAATTAATAGAAAAGATATACAAGTGTGTTCCATGCGTACACACGGGGCATCACAAGAATGAAAGGCACACTGGGTGTGGTGGGACACGCCTACAATCCCAGCACTCGGGAGGCTGAGGCAGGAGAATCACCAAGAGTTCACAGCCAGCCTGAACTACGTATCAAGGTACTGTATCGAAAAAGAAGGAGGAGGAGGAGGAGGCGGAAAGGCGATTCAGAATCACAGACACCCTTCTCCATAGGTGAAGGGAAGGGAGGCTGCAGGCAGCACGCATGACTTTTAGGAGGAGGTGAATGGGCCTGAAGAACAGGCAATGGCCAGGCACAAAGCGCACCTGAGCTCCAGGTGTGGCTTTTGACCTTCAGTTTCTCTGGTGCCAGGAGCTTCATCTTCCTCAGATGATGAGACAACAGAGACAGGCAGAAAGGAACTATGTTCCTTCCTTTGAGATCCTGTCTTCAGGAAGAGGAGGGGAGCCCAGAGAAGCCCTTCCCTGCATCACTGCTCCCCAGCTGCTCTCAGTTTGAAGTCCAAAATTGCACATTTGGGGATGATTTTGAAGCCTCAACAACAGAACTGGAAGCCAAGGAAGCCAAGGCAACGCTATCTCCTCCTCTCCAGCTCACTTGGCAATGGCACCACTGTGGTTTGGGGACACAGCCTTGAGGGCTCCTGCAGCATGGACTGCAAGAGGCCACCGGACCCTGCTCCCGCACCCTCTGCGGAGGCTGTGGGCCGCGCCCCTGCTGGCCCGCCATCTGGGCAGCAGACTTCGGTGATCCAAGACTCTGCTCTGCGGCTCCTCCAACAGCCCTAGACAGGAGGATCTCCTCACTCCGCACTCAAGCGACAAGCTAGACCACAGGGTAAGCTGATGCCCAGGAGGGGTCCGTCCACTCACACCTGTGTGGGATGGGGCCTTCCAGTCTGAAGGCAGCTCAGGTGGGGCAGGAGGCTCGGGGCCTGAGGGTGCACAGCTCATGGCCCCCGGCCTTGGAACCTGGTCTGCCCCAGAGCACAGGTGCCTTCCAGCCACACCTAGATGCGTCCTCAGATGAGGACTGCTGCATCCAGGGAGGCAAAGGGCCCTCTACTGGCAGCTGAATCAGTCATGGAGCCCCTCAGCTGCTACTGGTGCAGGAACAGCTGAACTCAGCCTCAGAGCCAATGTGCCAAGCAGATGTGTTTTGATCTGAAGAGACACCCTGTGAAGGGTGACTTGAGACAGTTGCGTTTCACAGACAACCAGAGAGAGGCCCGGGGGAATGAAATGGCTCCTTGCCGAGAACACGTGAGTAGCTGTGACATCGTGAAGTGTTTGTGTCTCCCTAAAATTCACTGTTGGGAACCTAACCAACAAGGTGATGGCATCAGGATGTGCGGCCCTCCTGACTGGGATTCATACCCTTACAAAAGAAGCCTCAGAGACACTGTCCTAATGTGGTTTGGGTTGCTACCCCATAGTACGGGGACCACGTAATAGAAAGAATAGAAGAATAGAAAGAATTTCTATTCTTTATAAAGAATAGAAATTTATTTGGCTCATGATTTGGAAGCCTGGGAAGCCCAAGAACACGGCACCCGCAGCTGCAAAGCCTGTGGTGAGGACCTCGGGCTGCTTCCACTTGTGCAGGAAAGTGAGAGGGGCGAGTGGGTGCATGTGAAGGAGACAACCACAAAGGGTGGACTCGCTTTGTAACCACCTGTGCTCAGAATAACAAATCCAGTCCTGTGGAAGAAAGAAGCCATTCATGCAAGGGCTTGCTCATTAGATCTTAATGACCTAACTACCTCGTAAAGTCCCTACCCTTTCTCAGTACTGTCACAAGGAGAATCAAATTTCTACATGAGTTTTGGAAGGGACAAGCCATAATCAGTCTCTCTCTCTCTCACTGTGTATGTGTGTGTGTGTGTGTGTGTGTGTGTGTGTGTGTGTGTGAGAGAGAGAGAGAGAGAGAGAGAGAGAGAGAGAGAGAGAGAGAGAGAGAGAGAGATTGCCTATGTTGCCCAAGCTGTCCTCAAATTCACAGGGTCAAGCCGTTCTCTTCACTAGTAGCCCCAGTTGTGGTTTGGAGGTTATTTACAAGGGGAAACAATATAATACAGGACACATATTTTATAAGATTATTTATAATAGTCACCCAAAGAATGATATACAAAAAAGTACAGGAAATCTGTCCACACACTAAGACCAAGGAAACTAGCTAAGGGCCTGGATCCCACAGAAATGTCCTGCATGACTCCAGCTGAAGACCTAGAATAACAGTGCCTCCCATGAGTCCAACTGGAGGCCCAGAGCCCATAATAATATCTCATGTAGGCCTGTTACATGGATCTGCATTGGGAAGGCCCAAATGTCAGTGATGGAATCTAGGAGGTCTGTGCCAGAGGGATGAAGGATCTGTGCTAGCAGGCTGAGGGATCTGCACTGGAACCAGGAAGCAATGTGCAAAGTAAAAACCAGAGCTCCCCTGAAAAGTACCACAGCCATCCTCAACAACAGTGAGGTCCTGAGCTCCTCCAGTGAAGACAGCTGAGTTCCCATCAGGAAAGCCAGTGCAGCAAGCTTCTCTAGGAAACTGGCAGTGCACCATCTTCCCCTCTGGAGCCAGGAAGTGATGCTCAAGGTGAGGACCAGAGCTGCCCCAAAGTGAACCGAAGCCATTCTCAGTGCCAACAAGGTCCCAAGATCTTCAGAGGATGGAAACAGCCAAGTTCATCAGGAAAGCCAGCATGATGAGCTCCTCCAACAGAACCAACAGCTCCTTACAGCTTTTACCTGCTCCCAACAGCCTTTCTCAGCTCCCAACAGCCTCCTTCTCCTTCTCCAGTTCTGCCTCTTATGCTGCTGGCAACAGTCCCCAGGTGGGCCTCCCACACCCAGCATCACGCTTACTCAGTTCAGCTGGGTGCTACAAGCTGACCACCAATTGTCCATCCACCGCACCAGTATCCACAGGTGCACCACACCGTGCCCATCAAGCAGGATTACCAGGATTTCCTTTCCGACTCCCTCCTCCCTGGTGACCGGGCACTTCAGTGGCCAGCCCTGCCCCTGCCGCCCAGCCTCCATCTACTTGGGGATCACACTGTGTGCGCCTCCTGTGGAGGCTCTTCTGTCCTGGTTGTTTGGGGTGGCGCCAGGACACAGGTGGGCAATGGGAACTTGGGGATGAGAAGAAACACAGGGTTTAACCCAAGTGTGAAACGGTAACCTACGTAAGGGAGAATTTTCTGTCAGATATCAGAGCTGGTGGACCCAAGAGTCCAGGGCCAGGGTGTTTTCTTTGATGGAGACATCCAGGCCTAGCCTCCTCCCTCAGACCCAGGGGTCTACACTCAGGCCTCACTCCCCACTGTGACCCGCTCAGTAGATAGAAACCTAATCCTCAACACCTGATTTCTATTACCTGGCTCCGCTACCCGCACCCCATCGCTCAGAGCAGGAAGCTGCTCTCAGCCCTCCTTTTCCTTCCAGAGAAGGCAGATTCCTCTCTACTTCTCTGGAACAGGGTCAATAGCTGCTGCAGAAGGAAGTCCCCCACCCTCTTTCTCTCGCTGGCTCTGTCTCCTCCAGAGGAGAGGGCAGAAGTGGTGGAAGCAGGGAGGCGCTGTCTTTGGCTCACCAGCACACAGCCCTCCCCGTCATGATTTCCCTTCCTTCCCAGGCCCATGGCTTCCCTCTCTCCCAGGGTTTCCTAGGAATCCTGGAGGCCTAGGTGTTTCCCAGAGTGCAGTGCGTGGGAGGAACAGCCTGGTCTAACTCCAGCCTGGCTTTGCTCCACAAGAGTCAGCCTCCGTGTTCCTGGAAGCCCAGAGGCCGCTGCCTGCTCCCAGATCCCAGAACCCAGAGATTCCTGCCCAAGCTCCCCTGAGCTCCCTGAAGGCTCTGTCTTTCCATACCAGCCACTCTGAGCAGCACGGCAGCCTGTGAGGCAGGGGCGGGAGCTGTCCCAGCCGTGGGGTCTCTCCCTCCAGCTTACCTCCTCCTGCCCTCCTCCCTCTTTCTCACTATCGTCCTCCCTCACACCCTCCTGCTCTCTCCTTTACTCTGCCTGCCTGGGAAAGTCCAGGGTGTGGAGCCTCGGCCCTGCCGAGCAGATGGTCCAGGGCAGTCGGGAAGGGATGGGGCAATGGGAAGAAAAATGACTGAGAAGTTCAAGAATAGAAACAGTGAAGGAAAGAGAGAATCAGAGGACAGAGAGGAACACGTGCAAGATACAGCCTCAGAGGAGAGATAGGTATGCGGAGGGGATGGAAAGAGGATAGAGACAGCTAGATCAATAGACAAACAAACACACATGCGCACACATACAGAGGATGAGAAACTTAGGGAGAGACAGTCACAGAATTAGGAAGTCAAGGACAGCAAGAGTCAGAAATTTAGAAACAGGCAGCAACCCTCCTTCTTTTTCTTTCCCTTCCCTATCCCCATCCCTGTTTTGATTCCCTGTCCCAATATCGTTCCTTCAAAGGACACCTATTTACTGAGCACCTATTAGTTATCAGCTTCTGGTCTAGGCTCCAAAGACTACCATGCATAAAGCAAGTAAAGACAACTGCTTATGTAGAGCTTGATTCTCTCAAAGGAGACACACTTTACACAACACACACGATCCTAAAAGAGCAAGCCAGGTGTGGTGGTGCATGCCGGTAATCCCAGTATTCAGGAGGCTGAGCCAGGAAGCATCACTGAGAGTTGAGGCCAGCCTGGGCTACACAGTGAGTTGAAAGCCAGCTTCAGCTATATATTTAGAGAGATCCTTGCTCAAAAAAAAAAAAAAAAAATCAAAGCAAAATACTAAATGAGAAAATTCACATAGTATGTAGGAAGGTAATCAATGCTATGGGAAAAAAAGGAACAGCAGAAGGGGGTTAAGGGGCCAAGCCCCCTCAGACACTTCCTGTTTCTGGTCTCTCAGTATCTGGATTCTCTCAAAGTGCTTCCTTTCCTTTCCAGTCCAGGATATCTAGCAAATAAACCTGCATTCAAGCATTTAATGAAATACATTAACTTCTTCTGGTTAAATACATTTAACTTCTTCTGGTTACTTTCTGGGCTTTGCTCACCCTGCCTAGTTCTCCAGGACACAAGTACAGTGGTCCCCCCTTATTTACAGGTGAGACCCAGAGTGGATGCTTGAAAGTACAGATAATTCTGAACTTCATCGATAATCAAGAATTGTCAGGTAAAGGGAGTGCTTTATAATTTCTCTTTGACGTATCTGAATTGCCAGAAACATGACTCTTGTGCTCTGAGGTTACTTTTACATTTGATCTTAGCCAAAAGCCAAAAAGTGATCGGGGCCGTTTTTAAGTAAAATAAGGGCCACCTGAAACCAAGTGCGATGATAACGGGCAGGCAGCATATAGGGTGTGGACACACTGGACAAGGTGAAGAGCAACAGCCCAGCAGGACAGAGACGGGCAGCATTGGCTCTCATTACAGGACTCAGCGCAGCACACAATTTAAAACTGATGTGTTGTTTGTTTCTGGTGTTTTCCTTTTAGCATTTTTGGTCCATGGTTGACCACAGATAAATAAAACTTTGGCTAGCAGCCTACGGTAACCATCCAGACCTGTACCTCCTGACATGGGGCAAGAAGAGGCGCAAAGCTAGCCTGCGCTGGCTCAGATGAAGGGCTCAGTGAGTTGCTGGCTGAAGCCCATGCACCCCATCTTCCTGCTAGGCCCCCCTCAGAGTTTTCTTAAGCCTGCACCATCTTACAACTCCAACCCCATCCAAGCCTCAGAGCTCTCTCCAGCCCAGAGAACACCCTGCATCTCTGTCATGACCTCACCAACCACTGAGTCACCCTGGCCAAGAACCCCTGGTCTGTCTGCTCAGTTTGTCCCTCAAATGGGACCAGAGTTGACCCCGCCCCTCCCCAGCTCACATCCCTCCTGTGGCTCCCTGAGACCACAGAATAAAGGCCCAGCCTCTGAGGCCAGTGTGCAATACCCCACACGTGGTACACATCCAACAGCTCGATGTAGCCATTCTAGAATGTACACCCGCCTCAGAGCAACCCCTTGCACACCAGAATTATGTATACAGTCTTTCTTGTCAACCCTGCATGGGCTTTGCTATGCACCCCATTCCCACCCGCTGGTATCCCCCTGTATGCTTCCTCAACATCGATAGCCCATATTTTGTGGGCTGGCCACACCAGTTCCCATCTGCGATTTTCCTTTCCTGTGCCACCTTCCACCCCAGTCCTTGCCATGGCTAACTCATCAGCTGGGATCACCTCCTCCAGGAAGGCCTCACTGACTCTCAGGTCGGGTAGACTCTTCCTGCCCTGGTGTGTGGTCCTCTGTTTACACAGCTGTCTCCTGCACCAGATCGGCACCTCCATAAGGGCAAGGCCTCCCCCTGAGTCATCTCTCTGTGCCCAGGCATCGCCCAGCCCAGGCCCCGCCCCACACACACACCAGCAGCTCTGCAGATGTCCCTACGGTGAATAAATGTTTTTCCTCTGTCTCTCTTCCATTTTTGCCTTATCTTCTCCACCCTTTGGTCCATTTGCCCCGGTGTTTCATAAACCACACCTTGACGTTTTCTGTGATGCTCAATTGTTTGAGAAGGCCACTAAAGCCCAAGCCAGGACCAAACTCAGTCACCTTTGGTGGGACAGGTTCTGGGAGAGATGGCCACTAATACACAGTGCTGGAAGCCCTGCCTTCTGCAAAGCACACCAGCTTCATCTGTCCCGGCTTCCGGCTCTGGGTTGGCTGCTTCCAGCCCTGACCCAGCCATGGTCGTCTTTTCCTGAAGGAATTCTGGGAGACTGGACCCCTGGGTCTGAGGAAGGTGATGGGCCCAGGCTCCTGGATCTGAGGAGGGAGGGCTGGGGCCTGGACTCTTAGCACTTAGAAGATGAAACTTCTTGGGTAACTTCCTTCTCTCTCTCTCTGTCTCTCTCTCTCTCGTTCTCTCTCTCTTACTCTTGCTCTCTCACTCTCTCTTGTTTTAGAAACATCTGGTTTTATACAGTTGCTCCACCCAGGCAAGGCAGGGTGGAGGCTGGAGAGCCAAATGCCTGGCTTCTGGAAGGGACCTGGGCTGCCGCCTCCCACAGCACAGGGAACCTCCTCTCCCTGCTTGGGGCTGGACTCCATCAGAAGATCCGTCATCCTGACACCAGGCAGCCTGGGCTCTAGGCAACAGTGTCAGACACAGCCTGAGCTCCGCGGCCGGGGTGGGCGGCGCCCTGGCTCCCATCCCTTTGGGCCTTCTCCCCAATGGTCAGGCCCAGGCAAAGCCCTGACCCAGCACTCACACCCTGACTTGCCCAGGGAAACTCAGGGTGTGAGGACTCTGGCAGGGGACAGGTCCAGGGAAGGCCGGAAGAGATGGAGCCAGGAGGAGAAGGGAAGGAGGAGAGAAAGTCAGACAGAAAAGTGAAAGAGTGAGTCAGAGAGACACAAAATTTTCTAAGATAAAGCCTCAGGAAGAGGCGGCAATGGAGAGAGACTGAGGGTGGAGAGGGACAGAGACAGAAAGATAGATGGACAGAGAAATAAGTAGAGACAGAGAGAGAGAGAGACAGACAGACAGACAGACAGACACACACACACACACACACACACACACTCTCACACAATGGATGGGAAAGTCAGCGAAGGACACTCAGAAAGAGGGTCACAGAATCGGGAAATCCAGGAGAGCAAGAGTCAGAATCTGAGAAGGAAAGACAGACAAGGCCATAGAGAACAGTGAATCAGGTAGAGGGAATGGGGTGGGGGTGTGGAGACAGAAAGAGAGAGGGGAGCGGGAGGTGGGGGAGAGAAAAGCAAACCGGAACACACAGAGACAGAGAGCTGGGTCTGCAGGTGGACAGGGAAGAGGAAGAGCGAGCCAGAGAAGAATGCGGAAGGGGCTGAGCAGACACAGGGAGAACCCGAGACGGCTGCTGGCCTGGGTCAGACGTTATCCCATCCCCTCAGAGCAAGAGGAGCAGGGGGATAGCATTAGACAGAGATTCTTACCCACTCATACAAAGAAAGACATGAAAGCGGTGACGTGTACAATGAGTCATCCGGCCCCGAGGCGCTGTGGGTTGCGGTCCCCCAGGTCCGCGTCTCTTTTCCACCCTTGCTCCGACTCAGTTTCCTGACAGCCCAGGCAGCTATGACAAACCACTTGAAATTCACCCTTGAGTCCCTGGAGAGGTAAATTCCAGCCCTGTGCTCCGGACACTGGCACACACACACACGTGCAGACACATACATGCAAGCACGTGTGCACACGCGTGTGCGCACACACACACTCCCGTCCGTTAGGGAGAGGTTCTCTCAGGGCTCTCGATCCAGGCAGCACTGCCTCCCAAGCCAGTGCACACACAGTCACACCCACAGACACGCACGTGTATAAGTTTTTTTCCCTCGGCCTGTGGCAGAGCCGCGTCCCTGGAGACGCTGCTGGGGAGAGCGAAGACGGGGCCGGGGCAAGGGCGGTGTTGGGGTGGCGGGAGGAGGGAGAAGAGGGGGGAGGTGAGGAGAGGTGGGGGACGGGATGGAGACAGAAATAAAGAGGAGGGTGGAAACAAGGAAGAATAAGAAGTGAGGAGAGATGAGACGGAAAGAGGACAGAGGACGGAGGAGAGGAGAGACACGAGAGACAGCTGAGGAATAGATGTGGGAGAAAGAAACACAGGCAGAGAGAGGAGAGCTCCCCACGTGCGAGAGAGAAGGCGGGGAGAAGGGCCAGGGAAGCGGGGCTGAGGCGAGCGTGCAGCTGGCGTCTGGCAGGGGCCGGGGCACTGGCGGGAAGCGGGTGGAGCTGCCGGGCTGCGTGACCTCACAGCCCCTGGCCCGCGTCTCCTGACGTCAGCGCCCCTCCGCCCCGCGGGTCTTCAAATGACCCTCCTGCCGCTGTCGGGCCACAGACCGCAGAGCGCCGAGGAGCAGCAGCCGCCAGACGGCAGGATGACACAGGTGTGTGTGACCGTGTGTGCCGGTCCCCGCATGCGTGCAGCGTGACTGCATGGGGGCCCCGGCATGTGGGACAGGGGCGGGTGTGTGCGGGACGGCAAGCATGCGGGGTGGAGTGTGAGGGGTCCTGTCACTGCCGTGTTGCGGGCGGCCGTGCATGCACATGTGTGTGAGCTGTGACATGTCCGTGTTTACCTTGCTCTAAATCCATGTATAGGGGGCTGGGGATTTAGCTCAGAGGCAAAAGCGCCTGCCTGGCAAGCGCAAGGTCGTGAGTTCGGTTCCTGGTACCGGAGAAAAACCAAAAAGAGAAAAAAAAAAAAAAAAAAAAAAAAAAAAAAAAAATGTGATAAATCCATGTATGACAGACTGTGTGCCCTGGGAAAGAGAGACAGAACGTGAGAGTAAGCGTGCAGAGGAAGAAGTGAGCTGTACTTGCCCGGCACACATGAGTCTGGGTTGGGGTTTTACATGTTCAAAAAAATGTTTAATTGAACCAAATGAAACTGCCATGTTCAGCTGCTCCTTAGCTACAAAAATAGCAATTTCATATGGTTCCATCTCATCTGAAACGTTAACTGCTGCTTCTTCTGAAACCCTCCGTGTCCTTGCCTCCATCCCAGATGCACGGGTGGGTGACTGTGAGTTTGTTCCCTGTGGACATCTTTATCCGTGTTGCTCCTTCTTTTTAATTTTTTTTTTTTTTTTGGTTTTTCTCTGGTACTGGGAACCGAACTCACAACCTAGCGCTTGCCAGGCAGGCGCTTTTGCCGCTGAGCTAAATCCCCAGCCCCAGTGTGTTGCTCCTTCTTGATGAAGGATGTGTGTCCACGTGCGTGGCATGTGTGAGAAGGTTCACCCGGTGGCTGATGTTGGCAGCCGCCGGGGTCACCGTGCTCTTCTGAGAGAAGGTGTCTGTGGTTATCTAGTAGAATACGAATGATTGGGGCTGGGGATTTAGCTCAGCGGCAAAGCGCCTGCCTGGCAAGCGCAAGGTCGTGAGTTCGGTTCCCGGTACCGGAGAAAAACCAAAAACCAAAAAAAAACCAGAATACGAATGATTTTAGTCTGTGTGTCCCCATCATGTGTGAGCACACATGTGCGTGTGTGGGCCCGGGGCTGTGTGAGTCCCTCAGTATGAATCAGGCCATCACCGTGAGCTTGGCAAGGACCAGGTTTGAGGCAAAAGGACGGAGAAACAGGATTCTAAAAGAAACAATAATTGTTGTTGAGCTAAGTTCTCTACCTCAAACTGGATAGGATATCACATGTCTGCAGTCGAGACTACTCAGAAAGCTGAGGCAGGAGGATTGTAAGTTTGAGATCAGCATGCAGAGCATAGCAAGAACCTATCCTTCAAAAACAAACCACAAAAGCTCAGCCTCACCTCTGTCCTATAGGGGCATAACATGAGCCTCAAATATGATTTAAAAATTTGAAAAAATGAAAACAGGTGAAATGAATTTTAACAATATATTTGTTATTTAACCCCAATGTATTTGGAGTCTGAAAATGTTCTCTGATTATTTTATCATCTCCAGATAATAAATATTTGAGAATTTGGGGTCTTTTGATCTTTGATCTCTCTGTACTAGACTGTGATGTAGTCCACAATGTATACACAGAGGGGAGCGGTTAACATTCTGAGCTTTGCTATTTATTAAAAATACAATCATTTCAATATGTAGTCTACACCAAAATATTAATGAGACACTTTACCTTCTTTCGGACTCAGGCTTCCAAGTCCAGGGTCCACAGCATGGCCCCTCAGATCTTATATCTGCATGGGAAATACTTCCTCCGAACTTTGGTTTTGTAACATTTATGGTTGACAAATAGATGCTTCACAGACTTAATTCTTTCCAAACATAGTAAACACTTCCCAATAACTAGAGTATCTGTTTTAATGTTTTAAATGATTATAATTAAGTGAAATTCAAAAATTTGGTACCAACTGCATTTCAAGGGCTTAGTAGCCGCCCGCGGCTGTCATGCTGGTGTGGTCCACAGAGTCATCTCACTCAGCCTGGGAGGCGGGGTCTGCGACTAGTGTAGAGGACGGTGCTGCCTGAGTCCGGAGCCCAGCTCTTCTACCTAGTATCTGTGTGACCTTGGGCAAGAGAATTCACCTCTCTGGGCCTCAGTTTCCTCACCTGTAACACAAAGGAGTAGCAGCACCTATCTCATAGGGTAGAGATAGAGTGGAAGCTATCTGGGACTGCACGAGGTGCTAAGTACCCATTTCACAGATGAGGCACCCTTCCCCTCATCTAGCAATACTGGCCAAAAGAGCTATGCAGTGGAGAAAGAGAACCAGGCCCCTGGGCAGTCTCAGAGAGAATTTCTTCACCTACGGCTGCCCACCCAGCGCAGGCCACTCCTCCTGGCTGATTCATCCTCAGTTTTATCATCTGTATGGTGGCTGCAAACACCCTGTCTCCCAGGGTTGCCCTGAGGGACGAGGCCAGTACTGAACAGAAAACTGTGGTTCAGGGACTGGATTCCCAGGTTCAAATCCTGGATCTGCTCCTTCCCAAGTCTGGCCTTGGGCAGGTTGCCCTCTGTGTGACTCAGCTGCCCCATCGGTAAAATGGGAAGATGGTCCTTGCCCCAGGCAACTGTGAAGATTAAAATAAACTAATTCACATACAAGGCTTAGAAAAGCTCCACTATGTGCATTTTATGGTATCCTTTCGCTAACTGCTGTTATTATCACGGTCCCACCCCTGAGAAATCTCGGACTGTGCAATGAATCTTGACTTTGTGTGTCACTGGGACGGACAGAGGAAGTCCTGCCTCACTCTGCTGCATACAGAGCTAGTGCAGTTAAGAGATGTCTAAAACCTGAAAAATAACTCATTATCCGGACGGATAAAATCGGGCTCCCACCCTAGACACCTGTTGGCCATAAGGACCCTCACTAATAAAAATACCTTGCTGGGGTCTGGGGAAATCTGTACAAAAGGGGAGGGGGTCTCCCGGAGGAGGCCCAGGCTCATCCCTGCCTTTGCCCTCTCCGCGCCCACAGGACGTGCCCAAACCCACCCGCGCGGCGCGCCGCTGCTCCGGCCTGGCCCGCCGGGTGCTCACCGTCGCCTTCGCGCTGCTCATCCTGTGCCTCATTACCTGGGCCTACGCGGCCGGGGTGCCGCTGGCCTCCGATCGCCACAGCCTCCTGGCCTTCGGCCTCTACGGCGCCTTCCTCTCGGCGCACCTGGTGGCGCAGAGCCTCTTCGCGTACCTGGAGCACCGGAGGGTGGCGGCGGCGGCGCGGCGCGCGGCCAAGCGGGGGCCCCCGGACGCGGCCTCGGCGCGCAGCGTGGCGCTGACCATCTCCGCCTACCAGGAGGACCCCGCGTACCTGCGCCAGTGCCTGGCGTCGGCGCGCGCCCTGCTGTACCCGCGCGCGCGGCTGCGCGTGCTCATGGTGGTGGACGGCAACCGCGCCGAGGACCTCTACATGGTGGACATGTTCCGCGAGGTCTTCGCCGACGAGGACCCCGCCACCTACGTGTGGGACGGCAACTACCACCAGCCCTGGGAGCCTGCGGCGGCGGGCGCGGCGGGCGCGGGGGCCTACCGGGAGGTGGAGGCCGAAGACCCCGGGCGCCTGGCGGTGGAGGCGCTGGTGAGGACGCGCAGGTGCGTGTGCGTGGCGCAGCGCTGGGGCGGCAAGCGCGAGGTCATGTACACGGCCTTCAAGGCGCTGGGCGACTCGGTGGACTACGTGCAGGTGAGCGGCCCGGGACCCGACTCCCCCTCCCGGGGGCCCTCCTTCCGTCCAGATCCGCGTTGGCTAAGGGCGAGCGCAGTGTAGAGACTGAGTGATTCCCTGTCCTGCTTCCTTTATCCGCGCGTCCCTCCGTGGAGAGGCTTTCTATCACTCGTGTGCGCGCTTCTGTCCACCCCGTCAGTGTCCAGATCATTTGTGTGTTCAGCGCAGTGCATCTTTCCGTCCGTTTTCACCCACTCAGCTCTTCCAGGGAGAAACGCTCCTCATGCATTTACCTATTCATTTATCCATTCATCCAATATGAAGACCATTCATTAATTTATCTGATCAAGTAGAGTCATTTTTTTTTTTTTTTGTCGTTTTGAGACAGGGCCTCGCTATGCAGTTCAAGCTGGCCATGAGCTCATTTTATAGCCCAGGCTGGACTCGAACTCGCAATGATCCTCCTGCCTCAGCCTCCCAAGTGCTGGGATTATAGGCGTGCGCCACCACACCCGGCTCCTCCTTTTCTTTTTCACTAACCATTCATGGCAGAAACTTTGTACTCCCTTGATTCAGTCATCCACCCATTCATCTATCCATTCATTTCATGGACAGACGCATTCAAGGGTTCCTCTAACCATTCAATATAATATTCCTCCTTCCTGTCTTCACCCACCCAGTGTAGAAATTCATTCCTTCACCCATTCACTCAAGCACCCGTCTCTCCATTCAGGGTGACCGGTCCCTCTTTTATTCATTCATGTAACCATTAGATACGGAGATCCGCTCCCTCTCTCCCTCCTTTTGATGTTGAGATTGTATTTATCCATCCGTCTGCGTACTCAGTATAGAGATTTGTTTATTTACTTAGTCATTCCTCCAGCCATTGCGTGTAGAGATTTAGTCACTAATAGACTATGTTAGATTTTTACTGCTGCAAAACAGATTACGGTAAATTTGGCGGCCTGAACCAATAACCATGTCACTTAGCTGCCAGCTTATTATCTCATAGTTTGGTGAGTCAGGAGTCTGAGCACAGACTGGTGCTCTGATCTGGGTGTCACCAGGCTGCCACCAGGTGTCAACCCGGTCTGGGTCTTACCCAGGGGCAGAGGTCCTCTCCCAAGCTTCTGTGTTTGTCGGCAGAGTATCTCTGGAAGCCATAGGAGCTTCCTGGGAGCCAAGGTCAGCAACAAGGAGTCTGACATCCTTTGTAAAGGCCTTCCCTGATTGGGTCAGCCCCGCCCAGGACAGTCTCCTTTTGATCAACTTATACTTAGGACATTTGGGGGCTTAGTTATATTGGAAAATCACTCACCACTTCCATATAAGGTCATATAATTAGAGGTGTCATTGCCCGTCACTTTTACCGTATTCTGTTACAGCAAGCATTGCCCACAGTAGAGCTGGGTATTATCCAAGATGGTCTTGTAGTTCATCTTCAGAAGAAACCAGACATTGAACATGATTAAACATTGCAGAATTATGTTTAGGTTGTTTGCAGCGGGCCCCTTCCCCCACCTCGTGGCGCCCTCCCTCCAAACTCCAGCCCTGCGTGGGTGTCTGGTCTGATCCTGGCCCCCTCTCCCTCACAGGTCTGTGACTCAGACACAAGGCTGGACCCCATGGCGCTGCTGGAGCTGGTGCGGGTGCTAGATGAGGACCCCCGAGTCGGGGCGGTTGGGGGGGACGTTCGGATCCTTAACCCTCTGGACTCCTGGGTCAGCTTCTTGAGCAGCCTGCGGTACTGGGTTGCCTTCAACGTGGAGCGAGCTTGTCAGAGCTACTTCCACTGCGTGTCCTGCATCAGCGGCCCCCTGGGTGAGCGTGTGTGGGGCTTGAGTGCCATGGGAGAAGCGCGGCCCAGGCGCCTGAGGATGTGTTCCGGGCTGGGGGCAAGGACAAGCGCAGGGTAGACTTGGGATGGGACAGGACTAGGTGTTGGCGTGGGCGCGGTGTCGGGGCGGGCCTGGGTGTAGGGTGGGGGTGGGACATGGGTGGGAAAGGGACATGGATGAGGAGAGGAGCTGTGCTGGTGCAGGGACTGGGAAGGGGACGGGACAGGGCTGCAGTCAGTGACCAGTTGGGCCCAGCTTGATGTTGGAGGCGGGTTTGGGCTGGGGCTGAGGATGCCTAAGGCACTGGGATGAGAGTGGCTAGATTTACAGTTGAATAGACATGGGCTCATGACAGGCATGTCGGAATGGGGTGAGCACAGGCCTGGGGCTGGAGTTGAGGACGGGGCTGGAGTTGAGGATGGGGCCGGGGATGGCCTTGCCTTGGGACAGCGAAGCTGATGCTCTGGTACCCCCACCCCCACCCAGGTCTATACAGAAACAACCTCCTTCAGCAATTCCTGGAGGCCTGGTACAACCAGAAGTTCCTGGGCACCCACTGCACTTTTGGGGATGACCGGCACCTCACAAACCGCATGCTCAGCATGGGCTATGCCACCAAGTAAGCTGAAGGGACCGGGTGCTGACGGGACCTGGTGGTGGGTGTGGGGAGGCCAGTGAGCTTCTGTGCGCACGTGTGTGTGTCTGCGTGTGTGTGTGTGTGTGTGTGTGTGAGTTGGGAATCCCCCAAACCCAAGCTAATGTGCAGGATAGTGGGCTCCACCTAGTGAGATATTAGGGGAAATAGGAAGATACCATAAAGGGCCAAGGGACATGTGCAATGAACCATGTGACCAGTGGACTCCATCTGATGAGACCAAGTGGGAGGGGTGAGTCAGCACTACCGGGAAACCAAGGCAGCAAGGGTCACTGCAGGTGAAGTGTGAGGTGGGACAGGAAGGTGAGAGACGGGCGGGATCTCACGCTAACTAGTGAGCATGCCAACACAGAAAGGGAGAGGGGGCAGAGGGAGAGAGAAAAAAAGAGAGAGAGAGAGAAAGAGGGAAAGAGAAAGAAAGAAAGAAAGAAAGAAAGAAAGAAAGAAAGAAAGAAAGAAAGAAAGAAAGAAAGAAAAAGAAAGAAAGAAAGAAAGAAAGAAAGAAAGAA